TCGTATCAGCCTGCATTTTCACATCTCTGTCTGGCAAACAGCTTCCACTTCCACTTCTTCCTACCAACACTTCCTAACTGGATCCAGTTAACAGATCCCGGCTCAACCCATCACCCTGCCCCTGCAATACCAAAGTGCTGGCCCATGCCTTCCCTGTGCCCTGCAGGCTCCGGCCTGCATTGTGTCCCCAGGCTGCTGCTGAGGGTGACTATTCAGGAGCCATGTGGGATGTAGGGTGCAGAAGAGGAAGCAGAATCCGTAGTGAGGTGCACAAGGAAACACAGACCACATGTCCTACCAAAAGCCATGGGATCCATGCTCCAAGCCTGTGCGTGCAGTCTGCTGCAGGCACCAGGGCACTAGGGCCTGGATTCACACTTTCTTGGACCGCAGTCACTGCAGCCGGAACTTGCAGTGTGGCGAGCTCTGTAATTACCCAATTTATCTCTTCGTTCCATCCCGGAGAGGAGTGAAGTACCGCGTCTTTCCCTCCCCTTTGGAGCCACCTGATGCCTCTTTGGGGATGACATCGGATCCACCCCATACCTTGTGCCTACATTAGCTGAAATGTTGCCCTTTGCGGCGCCGGGCGCCCGGCCAGCCCTCCTGCAGCCAGCGGCTGCGCATGCAGAGGGCCGGCATGTTTGCACGCAGCTCCGTTCTGTTCAGCCTCTCCCAGCAGCTGCTGCGGGGGTGATGGGGACAAGCAGATCTTTTTTCAGATCCCCTGGGGATAGGCTTCAACAGGTCTGTTTATTCATTGATTTAAGAAATCCAGCTGCAGTTACCATTAAGCCACTGAAAAAAGGAGCCTAGGCTGGGGACTTGGCTCGGGGAAGGGCTTTTGCCACTGTGCTCGCTGCTGTGCTTGCTTCATTGTAACCCTGTCCACACTACCGTCACGCACACTTTGCAGTCACAGTGCTGATTTCATCACTTAGCTACGTATCACACAACTTTCTGGCACAACCCCTTCTCCCAAAGTCTCAAGGCTCTGTGATAAAGGAGACACAGAAACAATCCTGGTCATCACCACTGCTCACTGCCAATAGCCTCTGTCACATCGTCTTTGTCAGGCAGCACCGAATCCCTGATCCTCATCGGCATGATTGACTCCTCCAAATAACCAGCCTTGGTCCTGATGGAATTGGACAGTTTGATCTGTTTCCCCAAAGATGTCAGTGTTCCACCAGTTCAGGTTTGCTTTAATTTGTAATAAACCCTAAAATCTTGCTAATCCTTTCTTGTCAAGCCAGTTTTGCATCTCGTTCCCAGCTCTGCTGAGACCACTGCCTGCCATGCTGATTAGTTCCAAAGCAGAGACGCTGGGAGCCCCACACATCTCCAGCTGCAACACAGAGTGTCCTCAAAATGAAAAATGTCGCAGATCACAGTATGGTTAGTGCTGGACAGGACCTCTGGAGACTGCCTAGTCCAACCTCCTGGTCAAAACAGAGACAGCTAGAGCAGGTTGACCAGGGCCTTGTCCAATCAGCTTTTGAATATCTCCAAAGACGGAGACACCACAACTGATGTTCCAATGTTTGGCCACCATCACCATAAAACCATTTTTCTTATGTTTAAGTGGAATTTCCTGCATTTCAGTTTGTGCACATTGCCTCTTGTCCTGTCACCCAGTACCACTGCGAAGACTGTGCCTGGAAGTATAAAGAAGTGTAAGACCCACCCTGACCTTTCTCTTCTCCAGGCTGAACAGTCCCAGCTCTCTCAGCCTCTCCTCGTGTGACGGTTTCTTTCAGTAGGCAAGAAATCTCACTATCGCAATGTTGTGGCTTACTTGAATGTGTTTGGCTCCAGTCTCTCATGGTTGCTCTTGGACCTTTCTCAGATTCAAATAGGTCATTAGTAGTAGGTATTTTCTTCCCAGTATTCTATACCATAACCAAATCACCATTCAGTCTTCCTGTTTTAGATAGTTTAGCTCATTGCTTTCTTTAAGAAGACTTTCTTACAGCCTTACACCACAGCCCCACCTCGGTTCTTTTCTGAGCTGTCTCCAGCTTTCCAGCTTGCCTGTAAATGTGGTGCCATCCCCAGGATTGCCCTGTGAGGCATCAAACACTGATCACTCACTCCTACTTCCCACACTTCTATTTAGGCCAGAAGGAATCTTGTTAGCTGCCTTTGCTGGAGATTTGACCACCTTGAGTGCCTGCCCCTTTTTAGCAGCGCAAGGAGTCCATTAGCCTTTTTTGACAGAGTAACACAATGAGAACTCACACGATCTTGTGTATCCTCTATGACTTGCAAAGTTTTTTCAGGGGTCCTTCTGCAAGGATGGCTTTTATTCCTACGTGTTCCTACCTGAATACATTTCTCCTGCCTGTAAGAAAATGTATTTTGTTTGAATACACCCAACTTACCAAGTTACCCAGATCTCTTTGAGTGGCCTGTTCCTCTTGCTGTTTATCACCCTATTCATGTTTGTGTCATCTGCAGGGTTTTACCTGCAGTGGTTTTGTATTTACCTTCAAATCATGGATGGAAATGTTGACTAGTTTCCATTCAACTATTGATCCTTGCAGAAACCAAACAAAATAGCCAAAGAGCATTCCCAACTGACAATTATTTCTCCTGTCCTCAATTCACTTAATGTACGCTTTGTTGACTTTGCATAGTACATCTTTTTAATCAATACAGCATACTGTAGTTTTCTTTATATCAATAGGTCATGCCTCACAAAAATTGTGTACCATAATGTTATGAATTTACTTTAGCAAACACAACTTTATTATCAAATAGAATGCTGAGTGTCACATTCCAAAAAGCCACATTTCTGTTCTATAATTCTCTATTAGCAAGCATCTGTATCAGATTTTCTATTATTTTTCACTGGATAGTTGTCAGCTACATGGCCTATAGTTCCATTGGTCTTAGGGCTTCTCCACTTTAAATACAGGAACTGTGTTGGTACCTTAACACTCCTCTGCTATTCCTACAGTAATCAAAGAGTAATTAAAGCCAAATCTTAGCGGGCCAGAGTTGAGCAGCATTTATTACGTTTTTGGATAATGAAAGATTCCAAGAGATGGAAGCGGACAGAAGAAAACTGTATCTTGAATAGGGTGAGCATGATGCTGGTTGATAAAGTAGGTTGGGGAGTTGGAAGGAAGACACAAGGGATAAGTGATGTAGGGAGCAGGAAAAGTACAAAAGAGTATATGGAGGTGATGTTGCTGAGAGAGGAACGAGCGAAAGGTGTTTACCAGGTGATGGGTAGTAGAAAGGGAATGTTAGTGGGGAGGGTAAGTAATGGTAAAATGCCAGCGGGTGAGAAGAAGCTGGAAAAAGAGAGCTGGAGGTTGGGGAACTACAGAAGAGTGTGTGCAGGAAAGAATCTGAGGTGAAAGAAAAGCCTCTTTAGAGTGGGGCTGGAATAGTGCATTTTTAGAAGTTACAAAGCCAATGAGAATGGGAACTGAGCTGTGGACGTTTCCAGCAATAGGATCAGGCTAAGAGCTGGAAGGAATTACCAACAGCATAATCCTGGGAACTAGAAAGAGGTGGCAAAGTGAGAAGAGCTTCTGAACTCTAATTCTCTCCTTGCTACCTCTTTCCAGGATTAAAATGTGCACCTAGAAGGACATTGGGGGGATTAGGAGAGGTGTGTTGCTGGGGAAGGTGATAGGAAATGGAAGAAGGAAGGTCTTCTAGAGGGGTAACCAGGCATCTAAAAGAGCATGAAGGACATTCTCTTAGGACCTGAAGGCAGTACAAGGGAGGAGATGTGCTTGGGCTGGCATTGGATAGTCTTGGAAATGGTTCCTTGGGACTGAAGGATTCAGGAGAATAGGAGCAGGGAAGAAGTGGTAGTGGAGGCTCTTACAGAGAGGGGCTGGTTCTATGAGGAGGGAGCAGTCAGTCTGGAGGAGGATGAGGAGTGAGAGAAGGCAATGGTGTAGGACTGCTGGGAGGTATCGCTAGGGGAATTTTTTTGCTGGGGTTATTCATACGGCTAAATTTGTGCAACCTGTGGTTACAGCTCCTCTGTTAGCCTTTCCCAGTGACGCCCAGGCCAACCATCCTCACAGTGTTACTGTCTTCTCAGCTGAATCATACATGTGGACATTTGTGGCAGTGAGCTCACCTCTCCACTTGCACCTAAGCCACTCGAAGAGGAAAGGGGTGAATTCTGCTTCAGCAGGGCTGTCGGTGTTTGCAGAAGGCCATTTTCTTCAGCGATGGGAACTTGTGCAAACTCATACTGAGACTCCTGCTGCTAACAACCCTCTGCCCAGAAGAGCCCATCTGTCACCTGGTCCTGAACACAAGGAAATGGGAAGAAATGCATGGCAGCGGGCAGGTTACAGGGCCTGCAATTCCCTGTTTCTCCAACACCCCACTTCCATGGCTCCCACCACCTTCTCAATGCCACCATGAGTCCCTAGCTACCATCTGCAGCCACATGCTGGGGGCTCCCCAGCACCTCCACCCCACCAGCCTGAAGCCACCCTTCAAGGGTCCTGGTGGAGGTCCAGGCAGCATCCAAGGGTGGCCCCTGCCTTGCGCAGGTTGTCCTGAGATGACTGCAGGCTCTGTCATGCCCCTGCACTCCCACAGCAAGCGGGCCCCCACAGGCATTTTATTATGAGGGAAAAGAAGCCACGTACAGAAACACAAAAGTATGTATTTTGCTCTATTTCAAGACAAGGCAGGTGCTGCAGCCCTTAGATAAACCTGGAGTCTCTGTGACCAGGAAGCGAGTGGGTGCTTCACACATGGACAGTCATTTCCAAGAAAAAGGAGATGTTTTCAAGCCCCAAGGAAGCACAAGGAGGTGACACTGGGCAGCACTGAGCCATGGGGTGAGGACCATCAGCTGGGGAAGGAGTCTAGCTCCATGGTGGTAGGAACAGTGCTGCAGAGAAGTTGCTCTCTGGGCACCATGGCCTCTCACACCTGGGCCACCGTGGTGCCCCAGACCCTGAAGCCCCTTGCAGGGTGAGACCCGCCTTCCCTCACCCCATGGGGAGCGGGCTCTAGGGCTTCACTGCAGCCTCCTCGCTGCGCTCATCCTCCAGCCGCCAAGGGCAATCAACGTAGCGCAGCGCCCCGCTGACGGGGCCGCGCTTGGCGGGATCTAGGGCCAGCAGGCTCCGCAGCATCAGGGCGGCCTCAGCCGTCAGGCGTTTCCAGTGGCGGGGCAGGTCCTCCTCCAGGCCCGTCTCCTGCCATAGCATGAAGTCCTCAAAGAAAGGGTCATCTGGCAGGCTCTGTTCCCAGGGGAAGTAGCCAGTCAGCAGGCAGAAAAGCAACACGCCAAAGGCCCAGGCGTCCAAGCTGGTGTCGATGGGCACCCCCTGGGCATCAGCGGTTTTGCTCAGCTCGGGGGCGGTGTAGGGGATTACCCCAGCCACCAGCTTGAGCTTGGTACCCTTGGGCCGCGTAAGCCCAAAGTCAGTCAGCTTGATGCGCCGACACTCGGGATCAAAAAGCAGCACGTTCTCAGGCTTGACGTCACGGTACACGAGCCCTCGGCTGTGGATGAACTCCAGCGCACTCACGAGCTGCTTGGCACACTGCTTAGCGGCTGGCTCGGGGATGCCGTCCTGCACAGGGAGAGAGACAGGCGGTATGGCACACGCAGGGCACCTTGGCAGCCCTGCCAGCTGGGCTCTCACCTGCATGCTCTGCACTGGGGAAGACCTTTTCATTTCTGGTCTTGCAAGCCTGAAGCTGCTGTAGACCCCAGAGCGACCCACAGCCCATTGCCTTTATCTCCCTCCCTCCAACCCAGCCAGTCTGCACAAGGGCCAAACACTACAGTCCCAGTCCCCGTGGCCTCACTCACCCGGGGTTTGATGATAGAGATGAGGTCTTTGTGCAGTGCTGGTTCATAGAGGAAGCCATAGTACTGGCTGGACTCGATGGCAATTCCAAACATGCCGATGATGGCAGGGTGGGTGGCGAGGGAGAGAGCCACGCAATACTCGTACAGGAAGGTGTGCAGCTTGGTACTGGCTTTGGGTAGCAGCTTGAGAGCCATAGGAGTCCCTGGGGACGGGGAGAGTGGGTTAGACTCCCCTGAAAGTCACTCACACCAAGGCCAAACAGAGAGGGCACAGAGCAGCCCTGGGTCCGGACACTCACAGCCACAGAGAGGTCTCTGGCCCAAAGCTTTGTGTGGATATATCCTGTGGACACTGGATCTGGGAGCAGGCACTGCCGCTGGTGTGAGTTCTGAGCCGGTCAGTGCGTGCACAGGAGCACTGGGCAGAGCAAGGGAAATTTAGGCTACACGGGCCCATCAGTCTGAGCTGGGACTACTGGGGAGGAGTAGTGTCAGGGCCCTGTGGGCACTCACAGGCCTTAATGGCCTTGGCCAACCACACCTAGGACCTCCACTCACACCCTCTGTCCATGGGCCTTAGGGCACCATTTAAGCTCGGGCTGGGGCCTTCACTCCCTGTCTGTGTTTTGTGGTGGGAGTGCTGGTTTCCAGCTATATCACACCCCTGCCGGTGCCTAGCCATGAACCCTATTGATCCTGACTTGTGGATTGACTTCCCGGCTTGACCTTGGACCTGCCTCATCCTATAACCTTGCCTGATGTTCTGGCCTGCCCCCTGGCACCACCTGCTCCCTGGCTGGGTGCAATGGGACAGTCCCTGGCTGGGGGGGGCCCTGCCCTGCCAGTCTCCCTGGGGACCCCCGACCGTGCCTGGTGCCTGGCCCCAAGGAGCCACCAGCCCACCCAGCGCTCTGGCGAGTGGAGAGGAGGCAAGGCACAGCAGCTCGTAGGGCACAGTTGGTTCCTTACCTCTCTGCCTGTGGGTCACTAGCATCACGTGGCCATACTTGCCCCTGCCCAGCTCCCGAATAACCTCATAGTGCTCGGCCACCTCGGTGCGCACCAGGCTCTGAGCTGTGATCTGCAGGAGCTCGTCTAGCACGGTTGGTGCCGCTGTCCCTGCCGCTGCCGCAGGCACAGATGAGCTCTCGGCCATTGCTGAGTGCTGCAGAAACACCACAGCCTGAGTCAGGAACATTACAACATGCACAGAGAAAACCAGACCAGACACACCACGCAAACCATGCCATGGCAGGGGATATCTCTGCCACTTGGAGCCTGAGCACCCTTGCAGCTGTGCTAGAGTTGAGCTTGTGCTTTTATACAGTACACCTCTGGGCAAAGCCCCTCATCATATAAAAGGTCCCTGTATTGAAGGGAACCTCCTTCAGCCTTCTAATCCTTTCTAGCCTCCAGACAGATGCTTGACTCCCTCTAATTGTAGTTCTTTGGGCCTCTCATTTCAAAGACCTAGATCACCTTTCTGTGTCAGCTATACTAAAGCTTGGCATCCTCTTATTCTAGTCTCCAAGGCAACAAGCAAAACATTAACAGTCCCGGATTATCAAGAGTGACCCAGTCCTCTTGCTCTCCTTAGCCTACTGCAGCAAGGCTGTGCCTCTCAGCTCAGAAACACACCGCTACTGCTTATTGAAGACAGTCCTTGAGGTAGCAGCAGAGGCAGACTTGCACCTTAGGCAGAGGCACAGCTAGCCCATGACAAAAAAGGGATTACTAGTCAGAGGCAGTGTGCTCCTTGCAAGCCAAAGAGAGCTCAGTACCTCACACGCCTGCTGACATTTCTGACCCAAAGTACTTATCTGTGCAGCCAAGAAACTTAGGCAGGAAGGAAGCTCCAACATCAACGGCATTTTGAGCTACAGCCAGCTGCTTCAGACCCATTTCAGAGAAATGCTTTTTCAGTCCCCCCAGCCAGCTACAAGGCAGCATTTTAAGGCACCTGTGGCAGCACTCTTCCCCTGACTACCTCCCTGTGCTCTGAACACAGGCACCCCGGGCCTGGGAGCACCTCCTGGCTTTGGAGCAAGGTCACAGAACCAGAGTCACAGGATGGTTGAGGTCAGAAAGTACCTCTGGAGATCACCTAGTGCAACCTCCTGCTCAGAGGAAGGTAAGCTAGAGCAGGTTGCTCAGGACTGTGTCCAGTCCAGCTTTGAATATCTCCAAGGATGGAGACTCCACAACTGCTCTGGGCAACTTGTTCCAGTGTTCGATCACCTTTATGGTAAAAAAGTTTTTTCTTATGCTTAAATAGAAATTCTGTGTTTCAGGCCCACTGCCTTTTGTCCTGTCACTCAATATCACTAAGAAAACTCTGGCTGTGTCTTTTTTACAGGTATTTACACATTGATAAGATGATCCCCTCAAGCCTTTTCCTCTTGAGCCTAAACAAGTCCCAGCTCTCTTAGTCTCTCCTTGTATAAGAGTTGCTCCAAAATCTTAAACATCTTCACGGACTGGATTCGTCCCAGGATGTCCACATCTCTCTTCTACTGAGGAGCCCAGAACTGCCCACTACTCCAGATGTGGCCTCACTAGTGTTGAGTAGAGAGGAAAGATCACCTCCCTCAACCTGCTGGCAACATTTTGCCTAATGCAGCCCAGGATCCAACCCAAGAGACTGAGGGTTGCAGCATTCTTGGATGTGTCTTAAACAGTGTACAGTGAGACAGAGCTCTAGTGTAAAACCAGTGGCTCACCTCCTCTACACCTACAAACTCAGGGTCTCTTCCCATGAAACATTCTGACTCACATGATGCCTTTTGGGGGAGGGAATAGGACCTCACGTTGCTAAAAAGGAAGATGGCATTCTGGGAATATGAGTGGGAGCAGAAAGAATGAAGCCTTTTCCCTTAGTTTTTACATTGCTCTATCTGTGACCAGAGCTTATTACAGTTCCTTCAACTTCCAGCCCCCAGTGCTGCTAAATCTGGTTATTCTCAAGAACCCAGTAATTTAGCAACAGAATTATTTAAACCTAAGAAAACTACAAAGAGGCTGGATTTGTACAGGAGACTGGGACTACTTGTGGGAGAGTTCCCCTTCTTTTCCCTTCCCTTCTCTCCTAGTCTACATTGTTAAATCTTATCCAATTCAGAAGTACCACGTAATTGGCCCTACTTTTCTGCAAAGGCTTTGGCTTGGCCTGAAAGCCAACAGCAGTCACAGTTAGTACAGTCCATAGGGAGTTCAACAATGAACAAGTGCTTGCATGGGAGGGGATTAATGGAAGGCTGGAGAAAAACTCACAGGGAAAGACGGTCTGGAAAGTATTTTAGAGATTTTGCTTTGATGTCCTCCTGTTTGCTGCCCAGACAGCACAGCTTGCAAAATTCCACACAGCAAGGGCATCGCAGAACCCACAAATGGACCCACTCTGCTACTGACATTTCCAAAAGAGTGTTGCCACATTTAGGTGTTAAAACAAATAGCTGAAAAAGCCTTTTAAAAAGTCCTAGCTAGGAATATAGAGAAAAAAACTTAAAATGTAATAACCTTTGAAAGACATAGACCTCCCCTTGATATTAGATAGGTTAAAGCCACACTAAATAGGGAGTGGAACAACAGGAGAGATGTCTGCTTGTCTTGTGCAGAACACATTAGATTTATATTTGTGAAAAAAAAAAATCAAAAGATCTCTTCTGTAAGACAGTGTTTCTCCTATATCAAATTCATGGTCATATACAAGTTCTTGTCAGCAAATGGTTCACGATCTTCTCAGATAACCTAATTTCTCAAACTTGAGTTAGATAAAATTTCTTCCCTTGTAGGCTGGCCACCTGTTAGTGCTATCTAACCCAAAGGTTAGAATCTTCTCGCTGCATCCACTTAATGTATTATCCAATAGTGATATAATTTTCAAATATCTATTCATTAATCTGTTCTTATTTGTATTGAATTATTTATCATATGATTCATCTATTTTATTTTTTATATGATTCATTACTTCTCTCCTATTTACTGTGTGAAAACTTGTTTTTGTCAATGGGAGGATATGCTTCTCTGTATATTCTTGATTCTCCCTCCAGCTTTGGGAGTCAAAACATTTCAGTCCATAAGCTTTTGCAATAAAAAAAATCCAAAAAACTCTTGTGTCCTTCCACTCCACATTTCAAATGTACTGCCATATAGGTGGCAAGGATCCTTACTTCCATGCATGGCCCCACTGGCATGGGGGGGCAGATTGTCTGGGTACAGAGTAGAGCATCAAAGTGAAATAGCCAGCTTGGAAAAATAGATCAGCCAGGGCATACGGGTAGAGTGTCTTGAGGGACAGTGACAATCTTGTGGGTCTGATCAGGGCTCCATATGAAGCATGCCCCAGCTGCAGTCACTCCAGAACAGTGTGCAGGCTTTGGCCCTTGCTGCCCTTGAGGAAACTGATTACAGGACACAGTCCATACTTCTGGAAACAGCCAAAGTTCTCGGGTCTTTCTCTGAGATACCACTGCCATTAGCTAGGAAGCTAAGCGAGGGCCAAATTTGGGTGACCACTGAATAGAGTGTGCCTGGCTGCTACCTTCCAGAGTGCCATTTGCCCTTTGCAGAGTGACAAGCACTGGGGAGGAGGCCACCAGGGCCCTGGCCAGGATGCACTCATCATTTGGCTGTGCTGTATTGAAGGCAGCAGGCAGGGTCCTTTTCAAAACTGTTCTTTCCTCCACTATCCTTCCTGTGCTTCATCCCTGCTAGAGGTCCTGTTTCTTGGCTGTCAATGTGTGAGAAACCCTAATTCCCCAAAAGAGTCTCTAATTACAGCAGCAAGAAATTCACATCCTTTCCACCATCGGGAGATGCTTCTCAACTTCCTGAGGAGCTGAGGAGGAGCTAGCCTATGGAGATACAATGTCTTAGTCCAGGCAATGTTATTCTGGTTCTTCAACCAAAATAATTAGTATATTTGGTCCAGAAAAACACTTCATACATGTCAAGAGCCAAAGACAGTGTAATGTCTATGTAACAGAGACAGTGCTATGATGACAGAATCACAGAGGTGTTTAGGCTGGAAGGGATCTCTTGAGGTCATCTAATCTAATTCCCCTGCTCAAGCAGCGTCAGCTGAAGCAGGTTATCTAGGAAGGTGTCCAGTCAGGTTTTTAATATCTCCATAGATGGAGACTCCACAATCTTTCTGGGTGACCTATCACACTGTTTGACCATCCTCAGAGTAAAAAAAAAAAAAAAAAAAGGTGTTTTCTTGTGTTTAGATGGAATTCCTTGTGTTTTAATTTGTGCACGTTGCCTCTTGTCCTGTCAATGATCACTACTGAGACAAGTCTGGCTCCCTTTTCTCATCAGGTATTTATATACACCGATAATATCCCCCTGAGCCTTCTCTTTTCCAAGCTGAAGAGTTTCAGCTGTCTCACCCTCTCCTCATATCAAAGATGCTCCATTAAAAATGGCCTTGAGCATATGGCATGTAGGGTCCATTTTCTTGCCTGACCTTCTACAGAGCTTTAACCCAAACCAAATAACCAACAACATTTGGGGCACCTCTTAGAAAAAGTCATGCAGGCTTGATCCAAAGATAAACTTTGGTCAACTATAAAAGCCAGTGTTAACATTCTTGCTGTTATATATTTATATGATATCCTAATCCAAATTTACCTAACCTGCTGCTGAAGTTTCTCAGCTAGAGAAAAAGGTTTTTTAGTGCCTGTTATATTTCTCCTGACTCTTACAGGGTTTATATGCACGGTGGTCAGAGGTAAGACCACAGCCTATGAGAACTTACTTTAAACTACTTAGATTGAGTAAAACTAGCAGGGTACAGCCTGAAACTCAGGTTATGTATTTAACCAATGCTTTACTTAGGCTTCACAAACTATCTGGCACACTGTACTTCTCTAATGCCCACATCAGTTAGTTTAAAAACAGATAGGATGCTTCCAGAAATTGTAGTCACATTTTGAATTTTGAATAAACATCTCCATGCTCTCTGATGAAGACACCTCGCAGTCTTCTTATTGGTTAAATGCCTTCAAACAACCTTCTTTCCAATTCTCAAACCAAGGCCTTTTGTCCAGCTCTCAGATCTGTTTCATGGCTGAAGCCCCACCATTTTTCCTGCCCCCCCCCGGGGTACCGGCTGCTCCTGGGGGAATGCCTCCTGGGACACATTCAGCTAGAATTACCCTCTACCTCATGCTGTGGCCCCAAGATCTCTTTTTTCAGGAACGCCACACTGAGAAGCTGCACTACCTTACACATCCATTATGACTCCAGAATTTTTCCAAATTACGCGGGGGGGGCGGTTTGGGGAAAACTCCACTTCCTCTTCACATTCCTTTCTGGGTGCTGCCTGCCTTGTTTCTACCTGAATACTTTGCACCACCTTTAATAAAGCACATTTTGCTCAAATGGACTTAGTGTATCAAGTAATTCAGATCACTTGGTGTCTCCATTGTTATCAAATCACTGTGTTCATTTCTGTCTAAGGGCTGTGTAAGGACAGGGGTTTCCCATCAACCTCTAAATCATTGCTGGGAGTTTGGAGCAGTTCTCAGCCCAATATTGGTTCGTACAGCACCTGCCAGAAACATCCCATTCACTGGGAAAGCTATCTGTACAAATTCATCCTGGCATTGGTCAAAATCAATAAGCCACACATTTTTAATGGATTTAAAAATAAGCCCAGTATAGTGGAAATTGTCGTATTTTATTGGTGTCCTTATACTACACAATTAATTTTGTTAAATCCTGACTCTGTTATAATACTTTTACCTTTGTCAATGATCTAGAAGAAAGCACTGAAACCATCCAGAAAATGTTTGCAAATGACAAAAAATGGATTTGGGTGGATAATGCATTGCTTGATAAAACTAGTGCATGCACATACACGCATACAAAAGTGTTTCAAATGACCAAAGAAGTCAGGAGTTTAGTCTGGCATTGAGTGACAGGAAAAAAAAATGAAACGTCATATTAATCAGACAAATCTAAGTTCTTCATGCTGCTTTGTAGATAAAATGGGCACTGTGTAAACCCAGAAATGTAGATCTGGTATAGCCTCACTTTCTTTGCAGGCCTTAATATGTAGGATGATACAGAATTGCACTGGAAATAATCTACAGTGATATACATACAAATCTTAATGATACAGATACAAGTCTAAGAGAATAACGGCACAAGGGTTACTGAAGTTGCAGATTCCACTTCTGCATTCACTCTGCTGAAGAGAATGCCCAAAAAGCATCAGACGCAGGAAACATCAGCAGTTAGAGGCAAACTAGCATTTTCTAGATGCTAAATTAAGAAACTAAGGTTCACTGTAAACAGAAAAATAGATACAGCCATTCAGCTTTACATAGACTAAGATAGATTATAACAAAAGAAGAGATCTGTTCTGAGATGATGTGCCTCTTACAGTGAACTGTAGCTTCTGCAGAGGTTCCTACACACAGATGCCGTGAGACAGTCTGAAATTTAATCTCTGAAAATCAGCTGAGTTAGAAAAGCTGTATTTCTGAAGAGCTGGCCACTTGCTAATGACTTCTGCACTAGAATTGAGAATATCATGCACCAGTGGACTTTATATTTTTATTAGAAATGCATTCCTTCCATTTGCTCTGCTTTGCATTCTTCTTTATCTACTTTTTAATGATGTTTTCTGGAATGTTAAAAATATACTGATGTCAAAGCCTGGTTTCTCTAGGGTAAATTTCCTGAACTCTTCTGGACGCCAGCTGATGGGTCAACAGAATTAGCTATTGGACGTTTTCTATCTTTTTAATGGTATCGGTGACACCACAATTCAGCAAGCTAGTGCTGGTGCCCCCAGTTTGACGGAAAAAGGACCAGAGAAGAACCACAGTAATGACAACAGGGCTGACAATTACAGGGGAAACTTCCAGGGAAGCAGTCTTTTTAGCTTATCAAACAGATAGCAAAGAAGTGACTCTGTCACCTGTGTGTGCCTTTGTGGATACTAGAATTTCACTAAAGAGGGCTCTCCCAGTTAAGTAAAGGCATTATAATAGAACCGATAGCTGAAGCTGAAATAAGGCAATTTCAGACCTCAATTGCAGTGCTGATTTTGTGAAGAAGGATATTTGCCCCTAAAAATCTCACCAAACAGTATGGAAGAATATCCTTCCATCTCTGGAACTTTTAACTCGAGAATGGCTCTTTTTTTTTCCCTAAAAGGTCCACTCTGGTGCAAACCACGTTTAATACAGGCAAGAGATCAGAACAGATTATCGCAGTGGTTGTTTTGGGCCTTATTGCTGATAGATTTATGAGCTTCTTTCTAAAACTGGTCAGCAGGCTAGTGCTTAATCTCACTGCGGAGAACAGCATGACTGTCCCCTTAGCAGAACCGCATATTGCACTTCTGGGGCAGAAACACCCAGCAGCCTCCCTGGAGGTAGCCCTGTAAGCCTCTCCCAGCAAGCTGCATACGACAGTCTCCGCACAGCAGCCTCCTCGGACAAAAATCAGCAGCAATCTCGCAGGGATCAAGCCACATCATACCCTCCTCCCAACCAACCAGCCGGTACCGGGGCACCATCCCACTGGACGCAACCGGACACAGGGCAACCTTCTGGGGCAGAGCCACCTAACGAGCTCACCATCAACCAGGTGTGGGAAACGGGTGCACCCCACATTGTGCTGGCACGCTACGCCGGAGTCTCCAAAACCGGTTTGTGAGGAGTGGGTGCCCTTTTACGTGCCTGTCCAGTCTCCTTCATCCTGCCACGGCTGTAACTTCTCTTCCCACACTCCCTCCCCATCCATACCCAGCCTCTCACCTTCTCCAGCAGCGCAGCACTGACGGCCGGCCGTGGATTGCCTCGCTTCCCCCGCTGCAGCCTCTGGGCTGGGTTCAGCCTGCGCCGAGCAGCCGGAGGGGGCTGCCAGGCATTACGGGGCTAAGCGTGACGCTCCGCCCCTTCCTCATGTCTCTGGTCCTGGGGGCACACTGCCTCCCTGCTGAAGGTGACCTCCGGGAGGGAAGAAAAGAGGGGGAACAGGGGGAGGAAGAGGGCTATCCATCTGCCCCATTTACAGAGGGGGAGGTGTTGCCAGGATCGGGGTGGGGTTGTTGTTTCTGCGCTAGCCATACCATCATAAGCCCCAGGGACCCTTCGGCAGACCCATCCTTTTCAGCCCTTCCCTCCAGCTTGGGCTCTCATTACAGCTGAGGGAGCAAAGCAGCTCCCTGGGCTGGTGCATGGTCCTTGATCTGTGGTACGGCCGTGATGGCTCAAAACGACCTTGAGCTGCCAGCGTTTGCTCTTGGCCACCAAAGGGGCCAAAGACATGTCAGTCACAATTGCCTGTGTCAGTAAGCATTGGAGACCAGGCACAAACCATAACTGGTTCAAGGTCCCTTCATGGGGCCTGGTGGGTCAGGCTCCTCACACACCCCAGTACTACAGAGCGTTACGGAGAAAGTGAAATTATTAATGGTAACTACAATGACTTGCAGGCATTTCACCTGTTCTCAGTACCTCCACCCAGACTATATTCCTGCACCAGAGTCCTCTTTCTTCCACCTAAGTGTGGAGAGGAAAGCAACCCCTGGGGACACTGACACCATGCAGGTCCTAGACCTTGACTCTGAAGCACGGGGGTTTGCTCACAAGGAGGTGGATCAATTTGTATATTGGAAGCAGTGATGCACGCAGCTGTGACACTCTTGTGCCACTGGCCTCCCTGTTCCTAGAGCATGACAGGGGACCTGCAAGGCTTAAGCACCTGATGAGCCTCTGTGCTCCCTCCGGGGGCACAGTATGGTGAGGAAGACTAAGAGACGACAGAGGCGAAAGAGACTCTAACAGAGGAGAGCAGAGCAGCCCCCATAACCGTAAGTACTCTGTGTCTCCAGCACAGGACTGAACCTTCTTGCCTGCTCTCTGAAGGGAGGGGAATTACACCAAGGGCTTGTCACTCAATGCTCTGCCCCACATAGGGGCAGTAAGGTGAGATGCACTGGACTGCCATCACAGACCTGTGAAGGGTAAGTCTGCTGCCACTCAAAGATGGTGCAAATCAGAGGGCAAGAGAAGTACCAGAGCCAGGCTCCCCGCTGTCCCTGTTCTTCCGGATAAGAAGTGGGGAGTGAGGTTGTGGTGCTGATGACCTAAAGGTCTTGTGCCATTCAAGGCTGCCCCTTCACACTCATTCTTGAAGGGTGCTCTGGTGATTGGGAAAGGCCTTCAATGTGCAAAGCCCCTACAGGCAGGAACATTACAGCTGGAGGCGGTGTGAGTGTATAGGACACTACACCTAGTGTAGTGTATACACTACACCTAAATATGGTGTAGTGTAACCACTGCTCCCCAGGAACATGGCCCCTGTATTACCTGGTCTTCTGGGGGACAGAATGGGTGAGACTGTTGCCTCTACTTGAGACACAAGTCAGAAGTCGAACTGAGAAATATCTCTGGGGACTTGCCTGAAGTCACAGGTACAAGACAACGCTGGGAAAGGAGCCCAGGTGCCCAGTCCCTCTCTCCTCCATTCCAATCTCTAACTCAAACCTGCTTCCAGATCTAGGAACAAAACACAGTAGTCTTCCTGATTTTCCAGCTAATTTTTTAAGAGACAGATTTCTTACATTTTCCATTCCTACTGAGAGTGGGACCTGCTGTGTGGTTTGGTTCAGAGAAGAGACCTCTTTCACAGACTTGCCTGCAGTGCACCAACAAGAAGCAATTGGCTGAGGGCTTGCCCCCTACCTGCACTTCATCTGACACTACAGCTGCAGGGCTTGTCACGCATTCCCATGACACAGGGAAAATGTCACATACTGCATATCACATGTGTGTGAGACTCCCTGCTCTCTGTTCCCTGAGGACTGGGCACAGAGCAGCTGTTGGAGGTCCTAGGGCCTGCTGTCCTTTTAAGGAAGTCAGCATTTGTGCATTTCAGGACCTCTGTAATTTAACATCTACACCTATCTCACCCACGTTGCACACATTTTGTCCTGCTGGCAACCAAGATGTTGGTCAAAGTCAACACTGGCAGAGCTGGAAATATGATGTAACCAAGACTGCCTTTGTCTTTCGGAAAGTTGGTCCCAGGCTGTGGACTTGAGGCTACGTTGTCTCCAGCCGTGCAGAATAATTTGCCTTCAGCGCCATAAGCAGACCCACAAAGAATCTTGGAAAAAGGAGTAAGTCAAGGTCGGTTGCAGGTCTCTACACATCCTTCAGGCAAACTCTGTAGGCAACCATTGGAGGTGAATGGAAGAGGAAAAGTGGAAGAGGGGAGGAATTTCAAGTGGGTATTAATGGCAATTCTGTTCAGATTGCCTAATATTGTCCACTGCAAAGACTCCTTTCAGATGCATGTTTATGCTTTGTGACACACACAAGCATTGGGGATAGCCTATGATATCTAACAACAAATACTTTATGAAAATGCATTCTTTTCCTCCTCTGAATTATTGTTGGGTTTAGCATGATAACTATCCTGTCCCTTGCATGCCTGGCTCAGAATAGGCAGCACACAGAAAAATAATGGAACACGAACATGCCCAAGAGCCAGATGTGGCAGCCAGTGTCACAAAGTCATAGCAGTGACAACTACATGAAGAATAGATGGACTAATGCAGCTGCAGTGGAGGGACCTAGTCAAGAAGGACTCTCCCACACCTCTTTCTTTAGTCCTTCTTTCTCTTCCCTTATCCCTCTTCCTTGGTATGCACACAACAGCCCATTTCACTCCCATCAGAATGACAACATTTCTTCAAGTACACACTGTACACAAATCTAAAGGATCAGGGTTGAATTCCTATTAGTAAGTGCTCAAAATCAGAAAATGTCAGATGTATGGTTGCAACTGGAACCCCGCCCCTTCAAAGAGAAATCCACCAGGCTCGAGCAAGTACCCAAAGAGCCACTGAGGGAATGGGCTGCTCCAACACACCACTAGCAGGACACTCAGTTTCTCAGGTGTTGGCCTTACTATGAACCTTCCTCTGCAATATCCCTGGCTAATGATACTGGTGATTTCCAGAGAAGATGAGTTAGGTGGAGACGTCTGTAGTCCTGTTTCAGAGTTACCCAACCCCACATGGCTCTTTAGTTTCCATGCTGTACTACCGAAGGCACCAGCAGCACCTAGGGTGATAGAAGATTTGATGCCTGTTTGGACCCAAGAGAGCACTCTTTGACACCGCACTGGTATGGAGGCTTATAAGCAGGAACATATGTGAGAGAAAGCTGCTGAAATAGGAGCATGAAGCTCCTTTACCAGGACCTACAATGGCACTGCTCTTTTAATATTGTAGTCTATGGCAATACTCAGGTTGTCTATATATATCCAAACTGACCATAAGCAGCTTTTCAGAGCAGTCATGATCCCTTCATTTCCAGCACTCAATTTTGCTCAGCCCTTTTCAGAACCAGCTTTGTGCCTGATGCTGGAGTGGGAATAGCTCTTTGACTTTCCCCGTTGCTTTCCTACTTCTTCTTCTTCTATTAATAATTCTGTGAGCTGCCAACACTTTCCTCCGCTCCAGCCTCAGCAGGCAGGCAAGCAAGCCAATCTGCAGGGTGCTACAGGGTGGGGGCTGCCTCCTGGACGGAGAGCTGGGGCCCTGAGCTCTCCTCAGCCCAGGCAGGGTGCTCAGAGGAGTCCACCAGCTGCGCAGACCATTTGTGCTCTGAGGTCATTCAGCGCTACCCCATCGCTGAGGAATCTGCTGGCCGCCTTCCTGACAGTACCGTACAATGTCCCACCTCGCCTGCCAGCTAACACAACATGCTCATGCTGAGCCCAGGCCCTGCTCCCCAGAGGTGCTTCTCAACCATGCTCCCCAGCTTCGGCAGAGCCCCTCACACCTGAGACCTCTACTCACCCGCTGACCACCATATCTGCTTCAAAACACCCTGCCCAGTCCCATTTCAGCCTCCTTCTTTCACGTTGCTGTTGGGTGCGTTGGGTGCAGAGTGATTGCAAGAGGCAGTGCTAATACATTGGTATCCATAAGCACTGATCCCAATGCCTTGGAGCAATGCTGGGATGGTGACCTTCCACCCCAGCACAGGGACAGGGACTCACAATATCTATATTTTTAATCTTTTCTGTTGTGATCTCTCCCAGTCTGTCCTCCAGGGCTTAAAACAATATACAATATCGAGTATCCAGGATGCACATCAGCCTTCTCCCTGAAGCCCAATGACTTATTTGTCACCACAGGTACAGCTAGGGACTGTCCGAGTGGCAGCTCATCTTGCAGTACCCACCCTAGCCTGGTGAGATGGTACCATCACAGCAGGCTGAGTTGGCTGGGGCTCTGGATGGCTTGGAGACAGATCCTGGGGAAGGAAGGGTTGCAGTGGGGCTTTGCAGGAGAAAAGGCTGGACTCATGAAGGAAAAGTGGGACTTGGGTGGTGGGGCAGGGACAACATGCTTTGTTGGGAAAGCTTCCTTCTCTCAAGGCAGAAACAGGGACCAGCTGCTCCTAAGCGACAGGGAGCCAGGAGACAAGGGACATAACAAGGCTGGCAGGGCAGGGGCTCGCCAGCCAGGTCTCATCCCACAGTGTCCCACAATGTGGGAACACAATGTGGGAGCGGGGCAGGCCCAGGGATGGGAGTCGGGTTCAGCTGAGAGTCCAGATCATCAGGCGAGCTCTTGGTGACAAAGCAGGTCCAAGGTCCAGCTAAGTTGATCTGCGGGTCAGGGTCTGTCCCAGCGGTGATAGCCAGTGCCAGACACAGTCTGGTGATTGCCAGGCAGGTCTGAGGTCAAGCCAGGAAGTCAGTCCATGTGTCAGGGTCCAGACAAACAGCGTCTATGGCCAGAAACAGCCATGAAAGAGGTGGAGACAGACCATGATAGAGCTCAGGAGGGACT